CAAAGAGAAAGAATGGATCTCATCAAGACGAATATTCTCTAGGGAGGAAAATCACTCCAACAGAGACCTTATGTGTTAGAGCTATTAAACTCAGCCATCATTATATGCTCATGGCAAGCAAAAGCTGGGGGTGTCGAGCATGGAAGCGATTTATGGTGTGGCTCAATGCACCGGGGACCTTTTTGCCCATCATTGTATGAGGTGCCTTGACGGGGTAATGAGCGAACTTCCAAATCAAACCTATGGCAGGAAAGGTGGACGTGCTGTTTGTGAGAGTTGTTATGTAAGTTTCGAGTTGTACCCCTTTATATCAAGCTAGACAACCATATGTGGATTGCATTCAATGTGCAAATTAAAAGTTTTTTTAGGTACTACAGGTTAGCGAATTAAAACTATGAAGGACGAATTATGCTAGCTCTTTGTATGACGAATTGTTACGGAATGTGCAAAACCAATTATTGGTTAATTCCCCACGGTCTATTCTTATGAATGTTTCATTTGATTGGTATTTGTATTAGCCTGTTTCAAATGAACGCAAAATGCATTATTGACATGTATGAGGTCATTCGGATGACAAAGAACAAAAAATGATTAGCTTGCTATTGGATTATCATTCAGGTCTCAACACACTAATTCATCACGCTAATATGAGTAGGCAATTATATTACAATTATATTATACTTGAATATGGCAGAGATCGAATTTTCAACAGAGGGAGTTCCTTTATTGATAATGCAGTCAAAGAAACATCACGATTTGACTATATGAAAAAATCAGGGATAATAGTTCCCTTATATCTCCCATAAAAAATTATACTAAACATCAAAATTAATGGATCCCCAAGATAATAATAAAAATTGGTCCATCTCTTGAGGTCTTCAAAAGAACAAACCCATGACAAGAGCCAAGAACGACAAAAAGAAACTAGCGAAAACAGCCCGGGATGAAGAAGCCGGTTGGGGTGGTGGAGCGGTCTTCCCAGTGGGGTCAGTGGGGGAAGGTGATGGTGCTAGCTCTGGAGGACAAGCAGCAGGGTTGTTTGATGTCGGAGAAGGTGTAGTAGGAGGAGAGTTAGCAGAAGGAGGTGGAGGAGGCACAGAAGGTGGTGAGGCTCCTGGGGAGGTAGCTGAGCTTGAGACGGTGATTGCCAGCTTCTGCCCTGACTGGCAATGGGTGCTAATAGTGCAGATGAAGTAGTGCTCGCCGGCTGAGGGGAGCGTAACGTTTGCCGGGCCAGTTGTGATGGCTGAGCCGATTGCGTTGTCCGAGCTGCATGAGTCGAATGATGCTTTGGGTACTTGTTGTACATCGTGTGCGTTGGTGGCGAAGTTGAAAACTGAAGAATTATTAAGAAATGTTTAGTGTGAGAAGAGAGGTAAGTAATTTTTAAGAAAAAAAAAAACTAATACTTTTTTGAGGAGCTTTCTTATTGAGAGGAACGATAATATACTAAACTCACAC